TTGGGGCGCAAAGGGTTAACCATACTAAAAGTAGACCTACCCTGATCTCATTTGCAAGCTCGTCTGCTAAACCGTCTGCTCCTAAGAGGACTACGTTCAGCTTATTATTCGGTTCCACATAAGAAGAATGTCTGTTCCAAGATGACGGCCTAAAAACAAAACAAAAGATAATAATTAAATACCAAATACTCTCTCCACAACAATATACATAATGTAAAGTAAAAAACAAGAATCTCTTGGCAGATAATCCTCCTTCTTGTTTGTCCAGAAAACTTTGTTGAATTTCTTCAGTTAAATAGGCATTAGGCTATGATGAATACTTTCACGATGTTAGGGTGATTCAGTTAGGTCACAATATAAGCATAGTTTCAAATATAGTATAACACATTGAAACAGCGACCTGTGTTTTCTAAATTTTAGTTGAGGTCATTCAAACATTCTTTCATACGCAATTCTTAAAGTAAGTAGCGTCCATTAAACCATTTGACCTTTCAGGGACTACAAACTATACCTGCACAGTAAAAACTGTTCAAGCTTGAATGTCACAACACACGTTCTTTGTGTTTTTTATTGAAGAAAAAAAATATTCACAACGATACCATGGATATATCAATGCAACAGTCATTGCAGCTAATGTAGAGTTAAATATTGTCTAGGTGCTTGAATACACTATCCCAATGAACATGTCAAATGTTTTCAGGTGGCTGAAGAATCCATGGAAATGTCAACCAAGCTGGTTTCATCCAGCCTACATATTCACATATTGTGACACGGTAAAACTGGATTCTACAGATTTCAACCATTTAAAGAAAATAATTTAAATGATTTAGGAAAAACTGAATAGTGGAATGTGCTTTTAATTACTTAATTAAAACAGCAATTAATGTTGAGATTACAGAACAGATTTACGGTAACATGGTTGGTTTTGAAGTTGTCATGGCTAGTTTGAATCAAAATTTGTGAAGACGAATTTACTTTGAAGAAAACCATGTCACTACATTAAAATAGTGAATTTACTTTCTAGATTTTGATCATGTGACCAATACAATGTGGTTGAAATTTGAATTAAAAGTACCCGGTAACATTTTGGAGATTGAAGCTAAACATTAAATAAACTAAAAGTGATTAGAAAAAAAAAACTGCAGCTAAAAATAATTGTCAACAAGTTTTACAAAAACATTATCAGGACTACACAGGTTTTTCTTTCAAGAAAATAAATCAGCAGATGGTCTTTTCATAAAATATTGATTTAATAAAGATGCAATTGTGGATATCATTAATATGCTGTCAACATTACACATGCTATTTATTGTATGGGACAATGAAACTAGCTGAATATGGTCAATACATGATAAAAATGACACCATCATACAATTGCATTCACAAGTGATTTTTTGGTATGTCATTGGCACAATGGCCATCAGTGTGTTAAAACAGAGTTCATGACTGCTAAGAAATGAAAAAAATGAATTGAATTGAATTCAACAGCTTTGCAGCAACATCTATATATTTTAGTGTCAAGGTGATCTGATATAAAGTGGGAAGTTGAAAAGGCTCTAACAACACTTGCACGTGGTTGACTTTGAAAATGTAAACAGAAAAATATGCAAACTTTAAATCAACTGAATCTGTTTGCTAGCGGTACAATTAACAAAATTGGTGACATGAATGATAAGAAAAAACAGTATAAAAGACTAGCTAATAAATAAATGATAATGGAATGCTAATATGATGGGGGCATACACTTACAAAAAACACAAAAAAAAAACATTCCAGCCATAAGCATATAATCTAACTAGCAGCGTATAATAACAAGCATTACAACTATCAGTTATATTGAGCAAATTGAAAATAATATTAAACACGAGAACAACAACAACAGCATGGCATGGCTTAAACTGTGGAGATGAGGACTGAATTAGAATCAAATCTTACCTAACTCTTCTGTTGCTTAGAAATTATTGTAAGAAAAAAAAGAAAAATAAGCAATTGTCAAAATGATTTTTTTTTTTAAAAAACAAACATTTTTTCTGACAGTTTGACTTTCAAAGGTGTAGAGAACTAGAGAACAGTAGTTAGTTAAATAGTTGATTGTTGTCCTCCTGCCAGAAAAGAGAGAGTCCCTCACCAGAGTGGTAGTCAGCAGTCAGTTACAGAGATTATAAAGCATATACAGCCAAAACAGCAGATACAGGGAAACAGTCCTTCATGCAAATGTATCTCTTACCTGTGTGCATTCCCATCAAAACATTTTTCTACAAGATTATCCATACACGTGTCGGCGCTAAGACAGGTTTCTCTTCTTGGGTTGTGGACAAAACCAATATGGCGAAGGAGGAGAACATCTCTGTCATTTTCAACCAGACTCAAAGCAGCATATCTATATAGGAAAATGAACAGTAAGTAGATATGTTTATAGTAGCAACCACTGAATATATAGACAATGTATGACATAACAGTGTATTGATGTATATTTATGAAAACACAGACCATAAGTTTACACGATTCAATATAACAAAAACAAATAAGACAAAATGTACTACCTTGGTTCTCGTTTCAGGGCCTCGTGTATTTCTTTCAAGTCTTCCTTTGAGACATTCTTATTAGAGTCCAGCTTAGCAAACAACTCAGAATGCTCAAACAGGAGTTCCCTAAAGTCTTCCTTAGCACCTTCAGCCAATTCTCTTTGATGAGCATGATAGATTTTCTTTTTATCCTGTTCATCAAGTAACCTGTAACTTTCGTCTCCCATTAGGAATATAATGACATCATCGAAGGGCTTGCCCGGTGTAATGGTGCCCGTTTTTTCTAGCAGCTTCTTGAAATCAAGCCTCATTCTGTGTTCAAAACAGAGAATTAAGATGATAATTACACCACCATCTCAAATCCGTGCCTACATGTATGGATTCACATTATATTTTATATAACATTTATTTTGTGTAGGGTCAACTTTGCCCATCCAATTGTGCCTAAAACAATATTCTGATTTGGTCATCTTTATGTGGTTATAAAAACATTCAAAATTGCAGAAAATTCAATTCGATCAACCTATTAGCATTTTTAGAAATACTTGCATAAGAACATGCCATTCTTATAGGTACACTCACATGTACCGTACTTTCCCGAGTATAAGCCCAGGGGCCTGGACAAGTAAAATCGGGGAAAATAAGGTGTTGGCTTATACTCGAGGACCACCTCAGAAAAAATTTTTTTTGGTGCATTTAAAACAGTAACCATCTTCCCAACCTCAAAACATTATCCAAATTGCATTTTTCGTTCACAGTGCCGGTCTCGGAAGGATATTGCGTGTTTTTGAGGGGAAAAAAGGCGAAATGAGTCGTCATTGATTTCAACAACACTTTTTACAATGAGGAAACAAACATGTTCATAAAAATACAAACATTTTATTACAATACGATTTACATACCGTCTGAATTTACGGTGCAAAAATGGGTAGGGTCTGTAGGAAAACGGTCGAAGGCAAGATCGTACACAAACTCTTGATACAAAGCTATTTCCACCATGGTTTCATCATAATTTGACCTGAACAACTTCCTTCGACCTAACAGCTCACATCTTTCGTTAACCAATGAAAATGCTGTGTCATACAGTCAAAGTTTTCCGATTATTGACAAAGTATTTTTTAACGCAATGCGGAAGTGAATTACCGCGATGTTAAAATGCGATCTGTTAACAATGATTTCGATAACAAACAGTGACGTTTTTCACTAAAAGCTGTTGATTCTCAATTTTTGAATGGTAAACTGAGGGTGAGGGAAGTATTCACACCTTTTACGGCCGCCAATAAGTCAAGTGAAAGAATAGTTTGCTCGTTCACACCCCATTCATGAGTTTCAATAGACAAGATTATTCGGATATAAAAACGATGATCAGTGACCAGGTTTCACAACTTGACGATCACATTTTTGCCGATTGGAAAAATACTATATGGATTATTTCAGTATTGCAACATCAGGGTTTATCCGGAGTAAATAACGTAATAGAAAACATGCGAACTATGTTCCGCCACCTACGTTCGCCCGCTGTGCCGTGTAATGAATGCAAGTTTTGTCTTAACAAGCAGCCTGTCGGCTGAGATAGCTCCGCTGTTAGCAATGCAAATGGCAATTAAAGAACAGAAGATATCATTAGAAAATGAACAAATCTGAGAGAGGTCCACATGTAGTACCTATATGTATAATATATCAAAGCAATTGGATTTGCGGTTTTCAACAAGAAGTCGAAAATATCACTTTTTACCAAAAATTACTAAAATATTCACCAAAATTAGAGAATTAAGGATATCATTACAAAATGAACAAATCTGAGAGAGATCCACATGTAGTACCTATATATGTAATATCAAAGCAATTGGACTTGCAGTTTTTAACAAGAAGTCGAAAATATCACTTTTTAC